GGCTGACAGGAGTCCCCCGGGCTGACAGGAGTCCCCCAGGCTGACAGGAGTGCCCCTGGCTGACAGGAGTCTCCCGGGCTGACAGGAGTCCCCCGGGCTGACAGGAGTCCCCCGGGCTGACAGGTGTCCCCCTGGCTGACAGGAGTCTCCCGGGCTGACAGGAGTCCCCCTGGCTGACAGGAGTCTCCCGGGCTGACAGGAGTCCCCCTGGCTGACAGGAGTCCCCCGGCCGGACAGGAGTCTCCCTGGGCTGACAGGAGTCCCCCGGCCTGACAGGAGTCTCCCAGGCTGACAGGAGTCCCCCGGCCTGACAGGAGTCTCCCAGGCTGACAGGAGTCCCCCTGGCTGACAGGAGTCTCCCGGGCTGACAGGTGTCCCCCGGGCTGACAGGAGTCCCCCGGGCTGACTGGATTCCCCCGGGTGACAGGTGTTCCCCTGGCTGACAGGAGTCCCCCCGGGCTGACAGGAGTCCCCTGGGCTGACAGGTGTCCCCCTGGCTGACAGGAGTCTCCCGGGCTGACAGGAGTCCCCCTGGCTGACAGGAGTCCCCTGGCCTGACAGGAGTCCCCCGGCCTGACAGGAGTCCCCCGGCCTGACAGGAGTCTCCCGGGCTGACAGGAGTCCTCTTGGGCTGACAGGAGTCCCCCTGGCTGACAGGAGTCCCCCTGGCTGACAGGAGTCTCCCGGGCTGACATGAGTCCCCCTGGCTGACAGGAGTCTCCCGGGCTGACAGGAGTCCCCCGGGCTGACAGGAGTCCCCTGGGCTGACAGGTGTCCCCCTGGCTGACAGGAGTCTCCCGGGCTGACAGGAGTCCCCCGGGCTGACAGGAGTCCCCGGCCTGACAGGAGTCCCCCGGCCTGACAGGAGTCCCCCGGGCTGACAGGAGTCCCCCTGGCTGACAGGAGTCCCCCGGCCTGACAGGAGTCTCCCGGGCTGACAGGAGTCCTCTTGGGCTGACAGGTGTCCCCAGCTGAAAAGTGACCCTGGCTGACAGGTGGCCCCGGTTACAGGTGACCCTGGGTGGCAGGGGACGGGGACAGCCCCTCACCTGTACAGCAGCCGGCCGCGGTCCCGGGCGCTGATCTTGCCCCACAGCCCGTTCTCGAAGGCGTCCTTGGCTGCAGCCACGGCCTTGTCCACGTCGCTGGCCTGGGCCAGGGACACCTGGCAGATGACCTGGGGGGACAGCGGGCCGTGGCCGAGGCCGTCCTCCCCCCGGCCGACCCCGCCTCACCCCACCTGAACCCGCCCGACCCCACTCGACCCCTCCTGACCCCACCTGACCTCGCCCGGGCCCGCCCAAGTCCCTGTCCCCAGCTTGGGGACAACCTCAGACCACAGGAGGGACGCAGGCACGGGAGTGGGTCACAGGAGGGGGACACAGTCCCGGGAAAGGTCTGTCTTTCTCCATGTCGGGGACCCCCGTGGGGTCGGCCTCGCTCACAGCAGCCTCCCACTCCTGGCCTCCAGCGATCCTCCCGCCTCGGCCTCCCTCCCCAGTAGCTGGGACTACAGGCATGCGCCTCCACGCCCGGCTCGTTTTTTCTTCTATATATTTTTAGTTGGCCAAATAATTTCATTCTATTTTTAGTCTCGCTCTTGCTCAGGCTGGCCTCCAACTCCTGACCTCCATCAAGCGATCCTCCTGCCTCGGCCTCCCTCCCGAGTAGCTGGGACTCCAGGCGTGCGCCCCGGGGTAGGACGGGCTGGAAACGGGCCGGGCCCCTTTTGCCGTCCCAGATACGGGGACACACGCCCAGCAGAGCGTCCCCTCTCCCCGGGGTGAAAACACCATAGACCAGGAGGCGCGGGAGGGGGAGGCCGGGGGATTGGAGGCCAGCGGGGAGGGGGAGGCCGGCCGGCCGGCACTCACGCTTCCGTCGGTCGGGTTGATGGTGTCGTAGGTCTTGCCGTCCTCGGCCTCCACGAAGGCGCCCCCGATGAAGAGCTGGTGGGGCACGCGGACGCAGCGCTTGTTGACAGCCAGCTCCACCTGGGGACGGAGGCCGGGGTTGGGGAGGCCGGGGTTGGGGAGGCCGGGGTTGGGGAGGCCGCGGGTTTTGTTTTTGTTTTTTCTTTTAATTTGAGACAGAGTCTCGCTCTGTCGCCCGGGCTGGAGTGAGTGCCGTGGCGTCAGCCTCGCTCACAGCAGCCTCCAACTCCTGGCCTCGAGTGAGCCTCCCGCCTCAGCCTCCCAGAGTGCTGGGAGGACAGGCGTGCGCCCCCGCCCCCACGTATTACGGGTGTGGATTCTTCTCGACCGGCAGGAACCCACACAGACGTAGGAGGAAGCACACGGCCGGGCAGACAACCACACGCGCGCACGGCCAGGGGCCGAGGCTCCAGCCCCCGCAGCCTCCGCGGAGCGTTGGGAGCTGTCACGTGGGCAGCGGTGGAGGCTCAGTGCTCAGGAGGGAGATTAAGGACACAGACTCGAGGCCACCACGTGGCTGGGACTCAGTGCTGCCACTGTGTCGTAGTGCAGCCTCCACCTGGCTACCCAGCCTCCACTTTGTCATTGTGCGGCCTCCACCTGGCTACCCGGCCTCCACTTTGTCATTGTGTGGCCTCAACCTCATTACCCAGCCTCCACTTTCTCATTGTGTGGCCTCAGCCTTGTTACCCGGCCTCCACTTTGTCATTGTGCGGCCTCCACCTGGCTACCTGGCCTCCACTTTGTCATTGTGTGGCCTCAGCCTTGTTACCCAGCCTCCACTTTGTCACTGTGTGGCCTCAGCCTTGTTACCTGGCCTCCACTTTGTCATTGTGCGGCCTCCACCTGGCTACCCGGCCTCCACTTTGTCATTGTGTGGCCTCAACCTCATTACCCAGCCTCCACTTTGTCATTGTGTGGCCTCCACCTGGCTACCCGGCCTCCACTTTGTCATTGTGTGGCCTCAGCCTTCTTACCTGGCCTCCACTTTGTCATTGTGTGGCCTCCACCTGGCTACCCGGCCTCCACTTTGTCATTGTGCAACCTCCACCTGGCTACCCGGCCTCCACTTTGTCATTGTGCGGCCTCCGCCTGACTACCCGGCCTCCACTTTGTCATTGTGCGGCCTCCGCCTGGCTACCCGGCCTCCACTTTGTCATTGTGCGGCCTCCGCCTGGCTACCTGGCCTCCACTTTGTCATTGTGTGGCCTCAATCAGGCTACCCGGCCTCCACTTTGTCATTGTGTGGCCTCAACCTCGTTACCTAGCCTCCACTTTGTCATCGTGTGGCCTCAACCTCATTACCCGGCCTCCACTTTGTCATCCTGTGGCCTCCAGCTCATTACCCAGCCTCCACTTTGTCATCCTGTGGCCTCCAGCTCATTACCCGGCCTCCACTTTGTCATTGTGCAGCCGCAACCTCGTTACCTGGCCTCCACTTTGTCATTGTGCGGCCTCAACCTCGTTACCTGGCCTCCACTTTGTCATCGTGCGGCCTCCACCTCGTTAACCGGCCTCCATTTTGTCATTGTGTGGCCTCAACCTCATTACCCGGCCTCTACTTTGTCATCGTGTGGCCTCAACCTCGTTACCTGGCCTCCCCGGGGTGAGGCCGGGAGGATTGTCAGCCCACAGAAAACGCCGGCGAGCCACCGCGGGGCGGGGCCCTGGGGGTGAGGCCGCCAGGACTCACGTAGTCGATGGGAGGCTGGGCGTCCTCGTCCTCCCCTCGAAGCTTCCTCACTAAGAGCTGGACGAAGTCCCCGAAGGTGGTGGCCATGTAAACGTCCTCGTTTTCCAGCTCCAGCCCCTCGCAGAGCTCCTTGACTTCCTCCACGAGCCTGAGGGGGAGGGGACGGAACGTTGGGGGACCGTGGAGGCAGCCTCGCCGAGAAGCGGCCTCCACCCGGCCTCCAAAGCATGGCCTCGAACTGGGAGGACGGGCCTCGCCTGCACATTCAGAAACCTCGGTTTCCATTTCTCACTCCCTCACCTGCCACCGCGTTTCCCCGACAACCAGACCCTTGGCGGGGACGTCCGAGCATTAGAGCCGTCAAAGCCCCACCCGGCAACCGGCCCTAGCAACGGGCTTGGTTACGCATAGCAGGATGTCTGAGCATTGGAGCCGTCAAAGCCCGACCCGGCAACCGGCCCTAGCAACGGGCTTGGTTACGCATAGCAGGACGTCCGAGCATTGGAGCCGTCAAAGCCCGACCCGGCAACCGGCCCTAGCAACGGGCTTGGTTACGCATAGCAGGACGTCCGAGCATTGGAGCCGTCAGAGCCCGACCCGGCAACCGGCCCTAGCAACGGGCTTGGTTACGCATAGCAGGACGTCTGAGCATTGGAGCCGTCAGAGCCCGACCCCGGCAACCGGCCCTAGCAACGGGCGCCACGGTTACACGGCCCAAAGTCTGCACGACAACCCGTGCGTGTGGCCGCAGGGCGAGACAGATGACCGGCGGCCGGTCCCGTTCACCCTGTCGTGAGAGCTCTGGGGCCCGGAGGGAGAGGTCAGTTCTAGAAGGTTCTAAAGGGGAAACAGAGTCGCGAGACGCTCGGGACGGGATCCGGGGTCTAGAGAGCGAGTAGGATGTTCCAGAAGAAGATGTCTGTGCTATATTCAAACCCATGGAGACGGTCGGGCCGCGCTTAAAAAAAAAATGACACTGTCCCCTGAAAATCAGCCCTACTGGGTTGTCTTCTTGGGGAAAAATAAATAGAAAATCCCCGTCTGATTTTTGGGGAAACTCGGTAATTTGGGACCCTTGGGCGACGGGCTAACTCCTCTTAGACTCAGCTTCTTCATGTGTAAAAGAAAAGTCATAAATAGCTCCTCTATTATTTCGTGATGAGTAACTGAAACGCCTCAGCTATTAGTAACAATAATAATTGGGGACGTGGGCAGTAATATACGTGACCTTAACATGTGTACCCCCGTGATATGCTGCAATTAAAAACATGGAAAAAATAATAAAAATTAAAAATAATAAAAAATAATAATTTAAAAAGTAATAATAATAATTAATAAGGGGACGGGCACGGAGGCTCACGCCTATCATCCCAGCACTCTGGGAGGCTGAGGCGGGAGGATCGTTCGAGGTCAGGAGTTGGAGACCAGACTGAGCAACAGCGAGACCCCGTCTCTCCCATAAATAGAATAAAATTAATCGGCCAAATAATATATATAGAAAAAATGAGCCGGGCGTGGAGGCGCATGCCTGTCATCCCAGCTACTTGGGAGGGAGGCTGAGGCAGGAGGATTGCTTGAGCCCAGGAGTCGGAGGCTGCTGTGAGCGAGGCTGACGCCACAGCACTCACTCTAGCCTGGGCAACAGAGCGAGACTCTGTCTCAAAATAATAATAATAATAATAATAATAATAATAATTGGGGGCAAGGGCAATATACTTAACCTTAACATTTGTACCCCCATACTATGCTGAAATTTTTTAAAAATGGAACTAACAATAATAATAATAATTAATAAGAGATCAATAATCTTCGAAAGACACTGTTCGAAGAATGAAAAGTCACAGACAAGAAGAAAAAACCTTTCCAAATGACATATGTGATCAAGGACTCATATTCAATCAAGAACTCTCAGAACTCAATGCTAATAAAGCAAACAACCCAATTAAAAATGAGCAAACGACTGAACGGACGCTTCACCGAAGAAGAAATGTGGGAGGCAAGTAAGAGTAGGACAAGATGCTCGGCGGCATTAGTCACTAGGAAAATGCGAATTAAAACCACAAGGAGGGCCTGGCGCGGTGGCTCACGCCTGTCATCCCGGCACTCTGGGAGGCCGAGACAGGAGGATCGCTCGAGGTCAGGAGGTCGAGGCCAGCCTGAGCAAGAGCGAGACCCCGTCTCCACTAAAAATAGAAAAAGAAATGAGCTGGACGACTAAAAATAGATAGAGAAAAAATGAGCCGGGCGTGGTGGCGCGTGCCTGTAGTCCCAGCTACTCGAGAGGGAGGCCTAGGCGGGAGGATCGCTCGAGATCAGGAGTTCGAAACCAGCCTGAGCAAGAGCGAGACCCCATCTCTACCAAAAACAGAAAAATAAACAAGCTGAACAACTGAAAATACATATAGAAAAAAAGAGCCGGGCGTGGTGGCGCATGCCTGTAGCCCCAGCTCCACAGGAGAAAGGCTGAGGCAGGAGGATCACTCGCGCCCAGGAGTCGGAGGCTGCTGTGAGCGAGGCTGACGCCATGGCACTCACTCTAGCCTGGGCCGC